CCACGACTCTATAATCTCGACATTAAGAAGATAAGGCTACTCAGGTTCTAGCCTGACTTGCAGCCCAAACCTGACCAATCAGAAGTCATACCGCCTTACTAAGACGACATCATAACCGTTATATAAACAGAGGGTACAACACCAAGGTACATTCATCCTTTACATTAATAACATACAAACTCCTGCCTCTGATAATGACTTAAGCATCAGAGTGTCTTCGCAGGTACCCCCCATTCGGATTCATCGCGCTACAACAAAGGACAAAAACATAGAGAGATCCAGCTTCAACTCTAGGCCCAAGACCAATAACAACAATCCACATCTCAACTGTGTGTGATTAGACTTGATACATTGGCCAGCCCATATTGTATTTGGACTGATCACCATTTAAATTACTTGATCAATTAAGATTATGATTTGATTTAAATTAAATTAATAGTAAATGAAATTTCATTTAATTAAATTTTTTATAAATCATTTGGTATCTGATCGGTCGACTAATCTGGATTCGAGTTAAGAAAAATAATAAGATGATAAATCTCTCTTACCAAATTGTAACATAATTGTATATTCAGGATTAAACTTGAGATATTATTTAAGTTGTAATCACTGGCGGACCCACGTTGGGGCAAATGTCCGCCAGTGCGGACATAAAACTTCTGAACTTAGTTTTTATTTTTATTTTTCTTTGTTACAGGTACTTATTTTTCTCTTGATTCAATATTTATATTAGAAGTAAATACTATTTTAAGTTCCTAACAAAAAATATGATCTCAATTTTAGTCTTTTACAAAAAAAGAATTAGTCTCGAGGTCCTTAAAAAATTCAAAGTGGATCAATTTAGGTAAAATCATGTTCCTCACAAATTCAAAAAAGACCTACATTAGTCCCTCAAAAAGACCAAAATGGGTTCACTTTGAATTTCATAGGGACCAAGTGACTAATGTTTTTTTTATAATGGACTAAAGTGAAGATCGAATTTTTTGTTTGGGACCAAAAAAAATATTTATTCTTATATTAGTTAGCAACGTACGGAGATGATTAAACTATTGTCTGCAGCTTGTTATGGAAGCAACTAGATTATGAGCGGGTTCAAGCGTTAATTTAAACTTTTTTTACAAAAAAAATTTTGGTCAAACTATTGCCTGCAGCTTGTTATGGAAGCAACTAGATTATGAGTGGGTTCAAGCGTTTATGTAAACTTTCTTTACAAAAAAATTTTTGGGGACGCTGTCCCTGAACCTCGCAACAAAATATGCGGACATAAAGAAATTTTTCTAGGTCCGCCACTGGCTGTAAATCCTGTAATAAGTGTCCCTCCCTTGATACACATACTTAATGGTAAACTCTTATTTATTACTTTAATTACATGTTTATTTTAAATAAATATTTTGAAAATGAAAATAACGCCACAGAGAAAAAAAAAATTAAAAAAAATAAGGTTTTATTTACTCCTTTCATCGACAATATTTATCAATTATTTCCCTTATCCCCTTGCATGTTTGAAGGAAGCCATTAATTTTGGTTCACATATCACAATTTGAATCTCCTTTTGAGGGAAGACAAGAAAGTCCCGCCATAAATGTCCTTTTGTCTCATTCATGGGCCACGGTGCAAGCTTTGCCAGTTTCAAATAAAACACGTGGAAGAAGGACAAGAACAAAACAACATAGCAATAGCAATAGCAAATAAAAATAACACAAATGTTACTTAGTTAAAAAATAAAATAAAATTGTCAGATGAAGATTAGTACATCTTGTTAAACTTTATGTCTTTTCAAGGGCGTGCTTTTCCCTAATTTAAATTTTTTCTTCTAATTTAAAAAAATTACTTAAATTTATCGGAGTTGCTAGATAAATGAAGGAGTTCAAATTACAGACAAGTATGCTAAATCAATTTTACCTATCTAGCATCTTTCTAAAAAATATTGTCATTTTGCTCCCTTTCTCTCTCTCTCTTTACTCTATAATATATGAAAAAGATTATATTTATAAATTTTTTGTTTATAAATTATAGTATATCTAGCCGGTAATACACTTTTGAGTAGAGTATTACCTGTCAGATATAATGTAATTTGTAAATTTATAAAAAAAAATTGTCAATATATAGTTTTTGTTGAGTCACGTTCTATGTTTTGTGAGCCACTGCTATCATGTCTCGGATGATTATTCTATTCAAATATTCAACTCAAAAACCTTTTTTTTTGTGTGGTAAAAACTCAAAACTTAAAATGACCTATAAAATAACATTACTAATAAAAGTAGGGTTTGCTTAAGTATTGAAATATTAAATACTAAATAAAAATAAATATTTTGGTTTCTTAATGAATTTAATACTTGATTTTTTATTTTTATAAACAAATGTTTTCAACACTCATTAGTAAAATCCATAAAAATATTATATTATTAAAGTATTTTAACTCACACTGGGTGCCTCCATATAAATCTTTTATAGCATAAAACTTAGGATTGCAAATATTATAATATCAGGTCTGGTAATAAATTAAAATTAAAGTCAAGTCTCACAACCTTAGAGGCTGAATTAATATGGAACGGATGAAGTTATTTAAAATAGTTTAAGTATTAAATTAAAATATTTTTTGGTTTTAAAAAAGTTGGCGCCAACTTCTTTAAAACCGAAAGTTATTTTAAACATTAATTGTATAAAGGCACTACGGTTTTGAATGTTACAGGAAACAAAAATAAAGAATATACAGAAAAACTGAAATATTGTTTTTTATTAATTGAATATAATTACTGTATTTTTTTTTATGTTTTACGAGAATGAAATAAAAAATAGTTTACATATAAAAATACAAAACAAATCTATATGATTGATTTAATATCTGATATAAAGAGTCAGAGGAGTCAACTTCATTAAAACAAAAGTTATCATTAGAACCAAAAATAAAAAATTGTGTAAAAAATACTGTAAATTATATTTTATTTTATTTTACTTTAATATAAACACTTTATTATTACAAATAAAAATGGCCAAGTAATAAGTTACAACATAATTCTCTATCATAAGCTGTGTTTATCTTATAAAACTTTCAGAATTTATTGAAAGGCTGATGTTAGCACACTTGAATGATCCACATTTAGATACTCAATTCAATTTTGCAATAGTGACATCATCACTTTAGATTACTTAAAAAAATCTGCTTCCAAAAACCAACTTCTGAGTTACGTGTATAAATTGAGTTTGCTTTCTTCTCCTATGAATATTCTCGAGAAGTCTTAGCCATATTAAATAAAAAAGAAAGAAACTCATCTTAAACTCTTAAAATAACTAAAACAAGGAACCAAAATATAAATAAATAATATAAGATTAGGAAAAGGTCCCTCACCATGCTCTCATCGCATTTTCCAGGGTGTAAATTCAAATGCACGGATCCACCGGTCAGGTAGCTTCACGTGTAGGGCTCAACAAAAGAAAAAAAAGGGGGTAGATTCACCTAAAAATTTGTGCTATTTTTTATTTTCTTGTCTTTCATATTCAAATGTGGAAAATTCTGTTGTTTTGGTCATTGTCAAGTTAATACTGCAAGATGCAACATGGATTCACTTTAAAAAAAAAAAATTAAATGTTAGTTCAATTTTATTTTATTTTAAGATTTAGCTTTAAACAAAATAAACATCATGTGAAGTTAAAGACAGAGCCAGAAAACATGTGAATTATACAAATCCAAATTTTTAAAAATTCATATCTCATATAAAGTAATTTAAACCCCAAATCTTCCATGATCTTTATTTATAATGCTGATGATGTGCAAATTAGATCTATAATTCTTTATTTAATGAAGATGCACATGAAAGCTAATGACAGTTGTAGAAAAACTGTTAATCTTTTAGGAATGGATCATAAAATGCTTATCTTAAAATTAATCAAGTATTTTTTTTATTTCATGTAAATATAAAGCTTATAACTATATATTATTTTAGTACCATGTCAGATTAACCTAAGGTCCCTTTCACCACCCGTCACATATCCATGTGTTACATGCAAATTCAGTTCAAGCAACTTTAACATGTTGGGATCAATCAAATTGGGTAGGTATCTAATAGGCCATAGGCACGGAGAACAAAAGGTGGGATATCACTATTTTGGGGTAATTTTTCCTTGCCTTTCATATATTAGAAATATCTTGGTGTTGGACTTGGACACGTTTACAGTGCTTAGTACGAATATATGCGTAAATAAGGATAAGATAAGCACAACTCAATTATGAAACTCAAATATATATATAGAGGATCATTTGATACCGGTGTTAAATTTAAAGTTTGACACTTAATCTAAGAGTCGTTAGGTTAAAAAAGATCAATAGTGTTACATGCTTACAAATCATAATCGCTGATCTTTTTTGATCTAATGACTTTCAGATGAGGTGTCAAACACTTTTTTGATCTAATAACTATCATATAAGGTGTCAAACATTGGTGTCAAAGAATCCTAGCTATATATATATGTGTGTTTTATTAATCTCATATTAAAGAAGTTATCCCATGTCATAGAGACAAATTTGTGAGCTCCATTATCTGAAAAAAAATAAAAATAAAATAAAAAGTGGCACAATTGTTAAAGGGTATGTAGGAGAGAAAGTCATCAGAGAAGTAATTTTATATATATATATATATATATATATATATATATATATATATATATATATATATATATATATATATATATATTCAATTATTTTCGGGTCCCTTTTTGCCAATTTGTGGATCACAAATTTGTTCCTGTTGCTAAAAACAACAATTTTAATTTTATTTATTTTCCTTAGATAAGTCAAATATCTTTATTTTCTTTCCCTTACCTTATGGTTGCTTGTTCCCTGAATCAAGCTACAAATAAAGAGAAACAAGTGTTTTGACTTCTCGTGTGTGTCATTGTTTTGTAATGAATTGTTGATGTGCTTTGGCTTCTTGTATCATAGTTCCTTCAACCTATTTTGAGAGTTTTGACACTGCAGAAGCATTATTGATTACTGTGAGAACCTCAAGCTCTTATGTTTCTTTCATTTCAGTTTTTGAGATCAAAAGCTGAAACTCTTAATGATTGCATCTTGCCCAGAATGTTCTTTATTTTATATTTTTTTAAATTGTCATGATTTATTTGCATTTGGGTATATTCAGGATTTGCAGCCACTAGTCTGTGTTGGGAATTTTTTTTGCTATGATTCCTTTTTTATGATAATATCATTTTTTTTTTATTTGATGCTAACAACTCGAGTTTGGATTGTATTCATAAACGGATTTCATGACCCTCTTAGTTTCTTGCATTGTTATAAAGCTTTTACACTTGTCAATTTTTTTTCTTCCCATATGCCAGAGGAACTAGCTTACTTCCTTGAGTTAATGGGAAATTTTCCCATCCTTGTTCAACTTTTCTCATGTTATCAGTTAGCACTTATCCATCTCAGAATCCATATATTTACTAGTATTATTTTCAATTTGTATGCTGATCCAAAATTTTGCAGAATACCAGTGGCTTGAAGTATACCAGTTGATAACTCTGTTTTTAGTGTTGAGTGTTGAAGGTTCCACGGGCCTTTGATCACATTCATAGGGTGTGGTTGTGTTTGCGCAGTTCTGGTTAATACATCTGCTGTTAATTAGGTTACTGTGACACTTACAGGTGAAATTGCTACGAAGATGGATAAAGAAGATGATGTAAACCATGGTGATAATGTGCAAGATATAGAAAACGAAGCTCCATTGGATGGGAATCAGGAAATTGGAAGGTACTGGTCAGAGTTTTCTGAGAGAAACATGACATATTCACAGCCACTTCTTGTGAAGAGGACTAACACCACCTCCCAGATTGCTATAGTTGGTGCCAACCTCAGCCCTATTGAAAGCCTTGACTATGAGTAAGCAATCTGCATTTATTTTTGGACACCAGATAATTTTATCTTGCAAAACTGATGTTATTAGAGTTCACTTATATGGTTGCAAGGATTTTGTTACTTTTATCACTTTTGTTACTCTCTTTTTTCTCTGTGGGGTGTGAGGGGATTGGTAGTTTATGCACACATTAAGAGACAACTGATGGGGAGTTTGTTGTCCTGCAAACTGCTTATTGTTTCTATATTTCATTCATTGTTTGTTTTACATAGTTATGTTTATAACTTGGTGGTAGGTGTATTTCAAAACCACACACACAAAAAAAAAAAAAAGGTTTTTGATTGTATGGTTTTCATATTATCTGATCTTTTCTTAGTTGGCCACTTTATAACTTGGTGAAGATCAAAGTTGAAAGACTTTATAACTTGGTGGTAGGTGTATTTCAAAACCACAAAAAAAAAAAAAAAAAGGTTTTTGATTGTATGGTTCTCATATTATCTGATCTTAGTTGGCCACTTTAAAATTAAGGTACATCATACAAGTTTGCGTTGAGCGTCAAACCTTCAACTCTTCCACTTCCTTCCAGTCAGTCATGGTTCTCTTCTGATATGGTTCCTTTTAGTAACGTTTACTGATTGCAATTATGCGTTGTTGTCATTACATGATGTGCTTCCATCGTTTGTGCAGTCTGTCTGAGATTTTGTTAGTAAATTTTCTTAAACATATGTAGTAGTTTTTTAATTAGTTTTCTGCAAACAGTAGAAATTAGGAGACACTTCTAATTTTCTTTTCTTGAAAGGAAAAAGGATAAGAAATATTAAGACAAGGAGTGAAAGCCTTGTAGCATGCCAATTTATGTGGAAAAAATGACTTGCATTTGTGATCATAGAGTAGTTTGTTAACTTTTACATTATTTACAGTTTTACCTCCCTATGGATGTCAGGGTCCATTTCTATTTTTTTTTTTAATTTCTACAAATTTAGAACATCATAACTTTGACCACTTAGCATCAATTGTTTCTAATATTTATGCTGCCTAGAATGTCTTTGTTTATAAACCTTATAGATTGCCAAACAATAACTTTTATCTTGTAGCTTACCAAATTAGTTCTGCAAATTCATGGTACATATAACTAGCAACCTTCTGCATGGATCTTCCATGCATTCAAGTGAATAAATAAAGCAAACATGCTCAGAATTTCAATGGATGCCAATGTCTCAAATTTCATTGCTTGAGGATTTAAAGGGATATGATTTTGTAACCACTAATCAAAATTACTAATAACAAGAACTCTGGAATTGTTTTGACTGTATCGGCATATCCATTTCTGATGGAAAGAGTGATGATGCAAGAATACTTATTCTGTAATTTCAGGATTTTTGAAAATGAAATATTTAAGCAGGATTGGAGGTCCCGGAAGAAGGTTCAGATATTCCAGTATGTGATACTCAAGTGGGCATTTGCTCTTCTCATTGGATTAGGTACTGGACTGGTTGGCGTCTTTAATACACTAGCAGTTGAGAACATAGCTGGTTTCAAGCTGCTTCTGACAACCAGTCTCATGTCTAAGCAAAGGTAAGCTTGCGCTGATCTCCAACCTGATGCATAAAAAGAAAAAAAAAAACCAATCCCTATTAAACCCCGGGTAGCTTGTATTCAGTTTTATACTTGTATATTTGCAAAGAGGTTATTTCCTGGATTCGAACCCGTGATCTTTCATTCATAAAGGAGCAACCTTATCACTGCTCCAACTAGATGCATATGCTTAACAATTAATGATGTTTAGTCTATATTTTTTTGTCAGATGCTAGTTGTGCTGTTAATAACTTTTTTTTTTGTTAAAGATTTGTTTAATGTGTTCAATCATCCTCAGTACCATCTTTGGGAGGGGTATAAAACCTTAATCCTGGACCCACCCCGACAACAGGATTACCTCCTGTGGAAGATACCTGTGGTTAATAAAAAAAAAAGATTTGTTTCATATTAAAGATATAATATATATAAAACACTCAATAAAACCTTCACGTAACAACTTAAACTTTTAGGTTAAATTGGCGCATAATATAATATGAGAGCCTTCGTGACTAAGTGATTACAAATTTGACCCCCACCACCCCAATTTCTAGTAAAAATAAGAAGTAAGTTAAAAAATCAGATCAAGGTAAATTATTGTAACATGACAGAAGCAAGGAGGTCAACCTCTTTCAAATATACAACATGGGTTCTGGCAATACAATGTGGTTGGACTCTCATGTCGATCCGAATGAATCATCCTTTCCATGCAGGTAAATTTGTGCCCGCTAGGTAAGAGAATAGCAAGTTACAAATTAAAAAATAAGCCTGTGCATTATCCATATTTCAAACTAGAGGGTTTGCGTGAGGGAATGTGTTAGAGATATAATATATAAAATCATTAATATGACATTCACTTAACAACTTAATCTTTAGTGTGCTTATAATACGACTATTGAATTATTTCATCATTTGATCCTCCATCAGTTAATCAACTCTCTACATCATAGCCAGAAAACAAAAACATGTGATATATATGGTTTTTGTTGAATATCAAGAACAAGAAGATTTATAAGTAATCCGTGTGTCTTAACTACACAGCGGAGAGTCTATTATATAACTCAAAAGAAAGAAAATACAAAGAGATATACATGATGTGGTACTTCTATACTTCTATTCTAAACTATTATTTACAACACTCCCCCTCAAGCTGGAGCATATAAATCATATGCACCAAGCTTGTTACATAAGTGATCTATCCTAGGCCCTCTCAAATACTTAGTGAAAACATCAGCTAATTGATCAGTTGAGTTAACAAAACTAGTGACTATATCTCCAGAGAGAACTTTTTCTCTAACAAAATGACAGTCTATCTCAATGTGTTTGGTCCTTTCATGAAACACTGGATTGGAAGCAATATGTAAAGCAGCTTGATTATCGCAAATGAGAGATGTTGTGCCAATGTCTCCAAATTTGAGTTCCTTCAATAGTTGTTTTAACCAGATAAGTTCACAGGTGGTTGTGGCCATGGAGCGATATTCTGCTTCAGCACTTAATCTGGCAACTACACTTTGTTTCTTGCTTTTCCAAGAAACCAAGTTACCTCCAAGGAATACACAATACCCAGATGTGGATCTTCTATCACTGGGGGAACCTCCCAATCAGCATCTGAGTATCCCTCAACTCTGGTATGACCTTTGTTTTTATAGAGGAGACCTTTACCTGGAGCATTCTTGATGTACATGAGGATACGGATCACTGCATTCCAATGATCTTCACAAGGAGAATTCAAGAACTGACTTACTACACTGACTGCAAATGAGATGTCTGGTCGAGTAACTGTCAGATAGTTCAGCTTCCCAACCAATCTTCTATACCTTTCTGGATCTGAAAATAACTCCCCCTGATTTGGCATAAGCTTGACATTTGGATCCATGGGGGTATCGACGGGCTTAGCATTCAACAAAGCTGTCTCTAGAATGTCCATAGCATATTTCCTCTGGGATATCACAATACCATCCTTGGATTGAGCCACTTCAATTCCCAAGAAATATCGTAGTCTTCCGAGATCCTTTGTCTGAAAATGATGACTGAGATGTTGTTTTAACTGAGTAATGCCTTGATGGTCATCACCTGTAATGACAATGTCATCAACATATACTATCAAATAAATAGATCCAGAGTCTGAGTGGCGATAAAAGACTGAGTGATCAGCCGCACTCCGAGTCATACCAAACTGCTGGACAATGGTGCTAAACCTCTCAAACCAAGCTCGTGGAGACTGTTTGAGACCACACAAAGATTTGCGGAGTCGACAAACTAGACTGGACTCCCCCTGAGCAACAAATCCAGGAGGTTGCTCCATATAAACTTCTTCCGCAAGATCACCATTGAGGAAAGCATTTTTGACATCCAATTGATAAAGCGGCCAGTGACGAATAGCAGCCATAGTAATAAAGAGGCGAACAGACGCCATTTTTGCCACAGGGGAAAATGTATCCCCATAATCTTCACCAAATACCTGAGTATATCCCTTGGCCACCAAACGTGCTTTGAGACGATCCACCTGTCCATTAGGACCAACCTTGACAGTAAATATCCATCTACATCCAACAGCAGATTTTCCGGAGGGAAGAGGAACCAGATCCCAAGTACCACTGCCATGAAGTGCACACATCTCGTCAATCATAGCCTGTCGCCATCCGGGATGGGATAATGCCTCACTTGTAGTCTTAGGAACAAATACAGAAGACAAAGAAGAAAGACAAGCAAAATGTGATGGAGAAAGGCGATGATAACTCATATTTATTGAATACCTGGGTGGAGGACGAATATTACGAGTACCTTTTCGGAGAGCAATGGGTAGGTCAATGTCGGAGGGCGGGACCGAAACCGCAGGAGTTGATGACGGCAGATCTGAGTCCATAGGAACCTCATCAATGTCTTGGGGTATGGGTGGATGTGACCGACGGTGATAAACCTGGAGAGGAGGATCTAGTGTTGGGACATATGGAGAAGTGACAGTAGGCGTTGGTGGTGTGGAATCTGGTGCAGGCGGTGGTGGTGTGGAATCTGGTGCCGGAACATATTGAATTGGAACAAAGGGTATAGGTAACTGAGTATCAACAGAGTCATCGGGAACGGAGGTGGAGCCAAAAAATGGCACAGACTCAAAGAAAGTAACATCCGCCGAGACAAAAGAGCGATGGAGACTGGGAGAGTAACATCGATAACCTTTTTGTGTCCGGGTGTAATCGAGGAACACACATTTGTGGGATTTGGCAGACAACTTGTCACAATTGGGATCGAGTTCATGGACAAAACAAGTAGAACCAAAAATACGAAGGGGTAAGAAATGTAAAGGCTGATGAGGAAACAAGATAGAGTATGGTACCTGGTTACCAAGGACAGAGGAAGACATGCGATTAATGAGATAGCATGCGGTGAGAACAGCATCACCCCAAAACTGGTAGGAACATTCCCATGAGTTAAGAGTGTCCGAGCTGTTTCAATAAGATGACGATTTTTTCTTTCAGCAACCCCGTTTTGTTGGGGGGTATGTGCACATGATGTGTGGTGAAGAATGCCGTGAGATGCCATGAATGATTGAAATGGTTGAGACAGATACTCACGAGCATTATCACTACGAAAAGTGCGGATAGGAATACCAAATTGAGTAAGAATTTCATGATAAAACTTCTGAAATATGGAGAACAACTCAGGGCGGTTTTTCAGTAAAAATAACCAAGTGTTTCGAGAATAATCGTCAATAAAGGTAACAAAATATCTATAACCCCGAGTTGATTCAGTACGACTGGGTCCCCAAACATCAGAGTGAACCAAACTAAAAGGAGAGGAGGCACAACGATTGACTCTATTAGGAAAAGAACTGCGAGTATGTTTCCCGAATTGACATGATTCACATTGCAAAGTAGACAGCTTGGACAAACGTGGTACCATCTTCTGGAGCTTTGTAAGACTAGGATGACCCAACTGAGTGTAAATAGTGAGTGGAGAATCTAATACAGAATGAGCATGAGAGGAGCTGGAGAGCAGGTAAAGGCCATTGGACTCAAATCCGCCGCCAATTGTCCTCCCCGAATTTCGATCCTGTAAAACAACAGAATTTTGGGTAAAAGAAATGAGACAATCAAGAGAACGTATTAAACGGCTAATGGAAAGGAGATTAAAGGGTGAACCAGGGACATAGAGCACATTATCAATAGTAATGGAGAGAAAGATATGTACTGTTCCAATCCCATGAGACTGAACCTGGGAACCATTAGCCATAGTGACAACAGACAAATAACCAGAGGTAGAAAGAGAGGAAAACAAAGATTTATTACCAGAAATATGATCAAAGGCACCAGAATCAAGAACCCAATAACTAAATGATGAACTTTGAGTGAAACCAGCAACGCTATTACCTGTATGTACAACAGTGGCGGCAGTGGAACCAGTGATCGTGAGCCGAGAAATATCTTGAGGAAAGATAAATGAGCTAGAATAAGCCATGGATCAAGAACAATTCGCTGAAACAAAGATGTCGTGAACAATAATGGAAAGAGGAGAAATGCTTCAGTGGGAATTTAGGAGCGGGCCTTGGACGGAAAGAACCGCCTCTTTGTGACGATCACAACTATGGGTGGCTCGCCGGAAAAAGTGCCTAAAAAGTGATCGGTGGTGGCGGTCAAATGGTGGTCCACGACGCTGGCAACCTCTGATGACGGTGGGTCTTGCGGCGTTGGGTAGATCGGCTTCTTCTGAGTCCGTTGATGTACTTTTTGATCAAAACGGGCGTCGGAAAATTTTTCCGGTGGAGGACGGTGGTGGCAGACGGTGGCCGGAAACTGACGATGGTGACAGTTTCCAGGAAGATTTTTACTTGGTAGACAGTGGGTCTACCGGAAAGATGCGGATCTTGTGAGGCTCTGATACCATGTTGAATATCAAGAACAAGAAGATTTATAAGTAATCCGTGTGTCTTTAACTACACAGCGGAGAGTCTATTATATAACTCAAAAGAAAGAAAATACAAAGAGATATACATGATGTGAGACTTCTATACTACTATTCTAAACTATTATTTACAACAGTTTTCATTCCTTCCCCCCTTCCCGAAAGGTACATATCACATAATATCTAATACTTCTCATATGCTTTTGGCTCTTCTTTTCATTTGTCAAAACGAATTATTGAAAAATCTAGGAAATGATTTATTCCCAATTATTGGTTTGTAAACCATGTGCCATTAGTTTACGAACTTAAATGGATCTATTGTCTTTAAAAATATGCAAAAAATGTATTGTGAGTTGCGGCTACTCTTTTTCAATTAGTCTTTCTTTGTGTAGGAGACGGAATTGACATATTTAAGATCCAACTACATCTATCTTTGTAATTATAGCATGTAACCTTTTGTGTTTTCTATCTTAGTTTTACCAATTTAATGAACACATCCTTGTAGAAGTTATTTTGGATCTTGAACCACAAAAGAATTATGTGTAATGGTTTACTGTTCCCATTACTTTTCATATGTTCTCACAGAGTAGTAGTTCCAGTACAGATATCTTGAGGCTTTTTTAGCATATGCTGGTCTCAACATGTTTTTAGCAGCAGCAGCTGGAGCACTCTGTGCTTTCATTGCTCCAGCAGCAGCAGGTTCTGGCATTCCAGAGGTTAAAGCATATCTCAACGGCATTGATGGTCACTCTATACTCGCTCCAAGCACCCTTTTTGTGAAGGTAGATAATACTACAATAGTAGAGTCAAGTCTCCTTCCTCTCTCATTCTTTAGACTTCCTGCATAAACACACATATAAAAGATGAATAACTCATTTAACAATTGAAAATTAGCCAAATTATCAGTGTTTTGTTTCGGATAAAAGAATTTCAGTGCAAAGTGAATATTATCTTCTGAATAAGCTTTTTATTGTATTTTTTTCTTAGAAAGAGTTTGATGCTGGGGATATTACAAAGAAAAGTTAAAATAACTTCTTAACTATTCCACGTATGCTATTGAATGAATATATACTATTGTGATGTGTTTGGTGTATCTTATACATCTTTTTCTACGTTTTCATCTTTTAACTTCTGCAAAATAATATGGAAAAGATTGACCTAGCTTTAACAATATCTTAGAGATAAAACCTATTCCAGTGCCTAGTCTTAAATCTTATACTTCTGGCTGAATTTGTTTCTTGACGTGGTATCAGCTTCTATGACTGAATACTCAAAAGTTGGATCCTCAACCAATTCTGGTATGGAATAAAAGTAGATTAACTATGACAAATTGCATATCAAATTCAAAGGAAAATTCTTCCTTACACTGATATAAGCTACTGTCTCTGAGGTTTTAGTTGATAAGAAATTTCTCATATTTAGATATGTTGAAAATGTTGTTAGGATTTCATCAGAAAATACAACAACAATAACAAAAAAAGCCTTTTTCCCACAAGGTGGAGTCAGTTACTTGGATCAAACACGCCATTCTGTTATGTTAAAAACCAAGTTTTCAAAAAGATCATTTATGCCTAGGTCTTTGTATTATGGTTTCTCTTAGAATTTTCCTCAGTCTTCTTCTACTCGGTTTATTGGGCTATCCTCCATATGATCAACTTAGGATTTCTCACTTGGCCAAACCATCTTATGTGAATGTTTGTCATCTTTTCCTCAATAAGTACTACTCGTCTCTAACTTTCTCTCTAATACATTCATTCTTGACCTTATCTATTCTTTTATTTTCACTCATACACCTCAACATTTAATCTTTGCAACACTTAGTGTATTCATTCCTAATAAATTCAATGATTTTTTTTTTTTGGTGTAAGAAGAAAATGCAATCGTTTACTTCTTGGGGAATATTGAATTTCTGTGTGTAACCAATGATTTCAACTGTTACAGATTTTTGGTTCCATCTTTGGAGTTTCTGCTGGATTTGTGGTGGGCAAAGAAGGACCTATGGTGCATACAGGTGCATGCATAGCTTCTTTACTGGGGCAGGGTGGATCTCGCAAGTATGGCTTGACTTGCAAATGGCTTAAGTATTTCAAAAATGACCGAGACCGGCGAGACATGATTACTTGTGGTGCTGCTGCTGGAGTTGCCGCTGCTTTTCGTGCTCCAGTTGGTGGTGTTCTCTTTGCCCTTGAAGAGGCCGCTTCATGGTATCTACTTCTGCTAAAATTACTCTTTTTCTCTCAACTTGATGGTAACTGTAGATTGTAAATTTGTAATTCTGGTTGAAAAAATTTCCCTACCAATCTCCAACCTTCTTGTTAGCAGCAGCTAATATTATTTTGTAAGGTACTGTATAAGATGTTAATAAAAAGCTGGGATTTAGTTAGCTTTGGAAGTAAACATGTAGGAGTAAAAAAAAAAAGCAGTAAAATGACATGAGTAGTGATAGATAATCGCGAATGTGTGATCAATAATTTGCAAAGAGAGTAACATGCTAAAATGTCAGAATTAAATAGCATGAAAATTAATATTCTGTCTTATAGAATTAAAATTGAAAAAAAGCAGGTAGCTAACTGGCTATCATATAGAGTTGACATTAGTGTATTAAATAAAAGTTGAATTGGTAGAATGGTCAGTGAATTCATAAATAACTTAGTTATATTTAGTAATTTGTGACAATTAGGATGAAATAATTGGATATCTCACTCTGATTCAAGATTAATCAGAATCTAAAGTCTATAACGAAGCGATGAAACTTAAATGCTTGAAGCCTGGAACTATAACTTTATCACTTATGTACATTCATTTATTGTGGAGAGCTTGCTGGTTAGCAAAAGAATACTGATGGACAGAAAGGTTCTTTCCCAGGCCTATAAAGCAGACAGTATTTTAAGCATTCTAGAATTACCAGTTTTTCTAATGCTTAACATGGTCATTGTCTGGAATGGTGATATTAAGATTTCTGTTTCTTTCCCGTGGACAAATGGAACATGATGTCTACATAATATATTTTGTATTTTATGGCTTTGGCACTCTCAAATGTCTAAGCTATGAATAAAGGATATACACCTTTTAGGGGAAAGATTTATAAAAAAAAACTTTGCTTCATGTTTTCTGGTTTTAATATATGATTTTAACTGCATGACAAGATAGAGGATATAGTTTGTGCTAAATATGTGAAGCTTACTTTTGCTATCAGATGTGTATCTGTAAATTGTGGCTGTTTTGGAAAACTGAGTTTATTTTTTGTGGGGCATACCTTAGGTGGCGGAGTGCTCTTCTCTGGAGGACATTTTTCACGACCGCAGTGGTTGCTATTGTTTTAAGAGCTGCAATTCAGCTTTGTGCCACAGGGAAATGTGGACTATTTGGGGAAGGTGGTCTTATAATGTATGATGTGAGCTCAGCCAAGGTAACATATAGTGTTGCTGATGTATTAGCAGCTCTAATCTTGGGAGCAATTGCTGGCGTTCTTGGAAGCATATATAATCACCTTGTGGATAAGGTTGTTCGTACATATAGCTTCATCAATGAGTATGTTCTCAAGTTCAAGTTAAATAGTTCTTAGGCATTTACTTGCTGTTTTCTAAATCACCATTACTTGTGTTATAGTCTAATGTATCAACAATGTAACTTATAACATCTTCTTCTTTTTTTAATTCTTGTTGCTGCAGAAAAGGTCCAGCTTTCAAAATGTCTCTTGTTATCGCAATTGCTCTTTTGACCTCATGTTGTTTTTATTTCCTACCATGGGTTGCAAACTGTATCCCTTGCCCTGGTGATCAGACAGTGAAATGTCCCTCTGCTGATGAGTCTGGAGATTATAAAATCTTTCAATGTCCACCAGGCCACTATAATGATCTTGCTTCTCTCTTTCTAAACACCAATGATGATGCTATTCGGAATCTATTCAGCTCCAGGATAACCAAAGAGTTTCATATTTCAAGTTTGTTTATCTACTTTGTTACTATTTACTTTCTTGGGATAATCACTTATGGTATTGCTATTCCATCTGGGCTTTTCATTCCTGTGATACTTGCTGGGGCTGCCTATGGCCGTCTTATCGGGAGGCTCTTCGAACCGATTGCCAAACTTGACACAGGACTCTTTGCCCTCCTTGGAGCTGCCTCGTTCCTTGGTGGCACCATGAGAATGACAGTCTCCCTTTGTGTTATATTGCTTGAGCTCACCAATGATCTCTTGTTACTTCCACTTGTGATGTTGGTCTTATTAGTCTCAAAAACAGTGGGTGATAGCTTCAACAAGGGTGTCTATGATCAAATACTGAAGATCAAAGGACTTCCTTATTTGGAGGCTCATGCAGAACCTTACATGAGGAACCTAGTTGCACGTGATGTTGTCTCTGGTCCATTAGTAACCTTTTCTGGCATTGAAAGGGTGGCGAATATATTACATGCTTTGGATACTACAGGACATAATGGCTTTCCTGTCATTGATGAACCACCTTTCTCAGATGCACCAGAGTTGTGTGGACTAGTACTGAGGTCTCATTTGCTAGTGTTGCTCAAGGGGAAGAACTTTTCAAGAGATAGGGTCTTCGCGGCTCAGAGCATCTACCAAAGATTATCTGCATTAGATTTTGCAAAGGCAGGATTAGGGAAGGGAATCAAACTAGAGGATCTAGATATCGAAGAGGAAGAGATGGATATGTATGTTGATCTCCATCCCATAACTAATGCATCCCCATACACTGTGGTTGAGACAATGTCACTTGCCAAAGCTGCTATTCTTTTCCGCCAACTTGGACTCAGGCACATGTGTGTTGTTCCAAAGAGCCAAGAGGTATGATATTTTTTCTTTTTCCTCACAAAGAATGTTGTACTTCTTTAGTGGAATTTTCGGGCTATTATTTGCATTCTATGGCTGTGGTAAGGTTATTCCTTGTGATCGGAATGTCACGGGTTTGAGTCTGGAAAATAGTCTTTATCCAAAATTGTAAGGATAAGGCTGCATACAATAGACTCTCGTCTTTATCTTTGCAAGTCAGGGAGCTTTGTGCACTGAAGTTTGCCCTAATTGCATTCGGTGGCCATGTACACATTACAGTTTCACTTTTCTTTGCTTTGACGATTCCATAATAGATATGACAGATTTACAACTTATATTGCTGCAAATTATGCTAACAATTTCTCTACATGTTACAGAGACCTCCAATTGTTGGGATTCTGACACGCCATGATTTTATGCCTGAGCATGTTTTGGGACTATACCCTGATATCAAGCCTCACAAAGGACACTGAGGGATCCCAGTGAAAAATAATTCTTTCTTCTGCATTGAAGTGTTGCATTCATTAGCTGCAGGTGATCAAAGTTTTATGTACAGTTGAGTGCAATAATTATTCACAAAACCCTCGAAGCAAAAATTGAGCTTAAGATGCAGCTGCTGCTGCATAGTTTTGGCGCCTTATTTAGGAACTGTGTCGATATATGGATTGTTAATCTCTATTTCATGAGGTCAAGTTGATACCTTCAAATAGACACTTTTGAAACACAGAAACCAGTCAACACTAATTAGTGTTGGAGTACACGGTTAATAAAGACCTATTGTTCATGTTGTTTGTTTGATTTTTTTGAATGAAGTTTTCAAACTTATTGTTCAGTGCTCTTCTTTGTACAATATTGTTAATGGTTAATGAGGCAAATGTAGTGTGTTGTGAATACAAGATAAGGCTATTTACTATAGATTCAGCACAATGAATCTGACCCTTTGCTATCATTTTTATTGTGGAGCTTTATAGCTTCAGGTTGCGCTGTTTTTCACAATGTTTGAATCATAAAATACCACTATTACCCTATTGTCATGAATACAAGTATACAACATTTCAAAAATCTAAAATGCCTCCTCATGCAAGTGTGCTTTGACTTGATATAAATCAATACACACTTTATCAATTAATTTTTCTTTTTTACGAGGCTTCTAGTTGTTTATTTCATTTCACCACATGGTCTTTTATAATAAAAATAATACAATAAAACAGTAAGGATAATAAATGATAATAATCTTAATTAATATCAATCACAACTGATTGATGTTAGCCTAAACCTAATTGATTTGTAACAAAATTAATTTATATTGATTTTAAGTATTTTTCTCCTAATTGATACCAAGCATAATTGATTGATATCACTCTATTAGTTGACTAATTAAGATAATATAGTTTGATATGTAAAGGTCAGATGTTATTTTTTAATGGGATAGGTTATTGTGCCTACTCCTATTTTACCTACTTTTGCCTACCCCTTTCGTTACCGTTCGATTACCATCTCATCCAACGATCCATATTTGTGATATAAAATAAACCTTTTTTTTCCCTTTCTTTCTTCTCACTTTCTCCCATACCTTTTCTCTCTCTCCTCCCCTTTCTCTCTTCCTCTTCCATATACCAATTTTTTCCCTTTATCGTTAATCTCTGCCCAGGTGAACGGCGCAGAAGCATTTGAAATCAATTACCACATCATTTGAAATCATCGTCAATATACATTAGTCTCTGTTTTTATTATTGTAATATAAATTTTCTCCTTCTGAATCAGTTTCTATCAAATTACCAGTGTCAATGGGTTGAAAAATCACAACAAGTTTTTAGATCTGAAGAACAACATAAATTTTATAAATTAATAAGATTAAATCGATGACTAACAAAGAAGTTTTAATGTGATTCAAAAGATATGTGCAGAGTTGGAAAAGATTCAAAATAAATAAAAAAATTAAAGAATAAAAAAATTGATATTGGAAAAATCTGGAAAAAGGGTTAATTGGTGCCATTCCAACAATTATGTTAATACGGATAGCCAATTAATTATTAGAAATTAAGAGTATCTATCATGTGGAAGAACAGATCGACATATTGAAGCAGAGACAAGGAGGATTCTGTGAACATATCGACCTTGTGGCACCACCGCTTTGAATCACATCAAAACTTCTTTGTTAGTCATCGATTCAATCGTATTAATTTATAAGGATTAAAAATATCATTAGAATCGAACAGTTTGTCAGGAGATTGAGGTCCACGACGGCAGAAGGGAAAAAAATTAGGTATATGGCAGAGGAAGAGAGAAAGGGGAGGAGAGAGAAAATGTATGGAAGAAAGTGAGAAGAAAAAAAAGGGAAAAAAATATTTATTTTATATCACAAATATGGATCGTTGGATGAGATGGTAATCGAACGGTAATGAAAGGGGTAGGCAAAAGTAGGTAAAATAGGAGTAGGCACAATAACCTATCCCTAGAAATATATCCTTCCCCATTTTAATTATATTGTTGTATAAAATAAAAAAACGTGCAGACCACGGTACACAGTGGTTTAAAAGACAAATAACCCTAGCCAGCCTCAACTCTCTCTCTCCGGCAACCTCTCATACGCCGCCCCCGCCGCTATATCCGCCGTGCGCATTCATCCCTAGACGCTGCACCAGGTATTCTCTTCTTCATGATTGCAAAACCAACTCTTCTTTGGATTGAGATTGAAACCAATATCCCCAATTTAGGTTATGGATTATTTGGGAATTTGGGGTTCCAATTTTAATGTAAATTTATTGTCTTTATTTTGTTACTGATCTTCGCCGTGACTTTTGATTTGATTGCGTTGTTGAGATGAAATTATAGATATGAAGCATGTTGACACAAAAAACATTGATCCTTTTTCACATTTCAGTAGCACACATTATGAGGATAAAATGAATAGGAGGGGTTTTTCAAAGTTGATTTCTTTACAGCTGAGGCACTTTTAGGAGCTGATTGTTTTGAGGGTTCTCATACTTAACATTGCTAATGGTAGGAGTTGTTTTTGTTGGTTGGGGGGGGAGGGAGTGTGTTCATAGATTTTGGATGTTCCAACATGGAAATTGCTAAAAGATGCAGTGGGGGAAATGTTTTTAATTTTTGAGCCTAGAAACCTAAGACATTTTTGAATGGACAAGTTTCTAGTGGTGATATCAATCTTTTTTTTTTCCTCATTCCAATTTGGTGAAAATCAGCTCCATTTACTTAATATGTGAGCATGTAACCTATTGCTTGCATCGGAGAGTTGGTTTAAAAGACGCTGACCCCTTCATACCAAATAGTTTGGTTATGCATAATCACATATCTTTATGCGTCCACATTTCTCAATTTTATTTCTTAAAAGTTTTGTCTTAACAATCAAATTTCAAAACCTTATTGTAGAGTCTACTGCGAAGAGAGATTGAGTATGTGAGGCTTGTAAATGATTAGATATTTGGTGTATATTGTCCACATTGTTTGAATTTATTTTCACATGAAACATGGTTCCTTTATTTTGTTTTTCTGATTAGAATTCTTATACCGCAGATCTTCAATTTGATTACTTTGGTCAAAGATTTCTGTCATTCTCAATCATGGCAACTAGTAAGTGGGACATATATGTTTTCTGTATTGTTGAACCTGTATTTTTTAAGGAGTTTGTTCATATCTGTTGTTGTTTAATGTGTCTATTACTTTATGGTCTTTTTTGGTGGAAATCCTTTTTACTTTTAAATTAATATACTGAATGGTTATGAGTTTCTTGCACCAGGACTTCAGTTTGAGAATTCTTGTGAAGTTGGAGTGTTCTCTAAACTTACCAATGCCTATTGTTTGGTAGCCATTGGAGGTTCTGAAAATTTCTACAGGTTTTCATTTTTTTTCTGCTAGTGAAAGTATATTTCTGTATAGATTTCAGTTATTTGTATTTGATACCAAATACAAATAAATCATTATGATAGTTCTCTGAATGAATAAATTAATATGTTGCTCGATGCAGTATGTTTGAATCAGAGTTAGCAGATGTTATCCCTGTGGTCAAGACATCCATTGGTGGCACTCGTATTATTGGTCGTCTTTGTGCTGGTAAAGTTTTCCTTTACCCTCATTTATTCTCTTTGTTTCCCATGGAGTATTACTGTATTAGTTTATATCATGGCTGAGATGTCTCCATCCTATTTCTTCCTCTTTCAACTTATATTAGTTAACAAAGAAAGAGATGTCTACACCAGTTTCTTATTTTTTTCATTATCAATTTTTTGGACCTAATTAATTTACGTTTCTACTGGTTCACAGGAAACAAGAATGGCCTTCTCGTGCCCCATACCACCACAGACCAAGGTGACTCCTATTTTTGTTAATATATTTGTTTTGATTATCAGTAATTTTTTATGCTGTTTTAATTTCATGTGCTATGCACTTTTAACATGTCTTTGTAACTCCTCTTCTCCCCAAAAGAATAAATTCACCTCATTGACTTTGTCAATAAAATATGCCAAATTGTTACTTGCCATTTGACTGATGATTCGGATTGCTGTTAGCACAGATGAGATGGTGCATAACTACTCCTGTTTCTGTAAAAATATTAAAACCTACTGCTTCTGTTTAATTTTAATTGAAAATAATTTAAAAAAATCTACCGGTTTAATTACCAAATTATAGGGAGGGATGTTTGATGGTTGTCTTGCGGCTTATCCAATTAGCCAATGTTGTAAAGATTTTGAGTCTTTGACACACTAGTCTCTAGCCCTTTCAGCATTTTTTTCTGTTTTTTTGCTGGGTTTGATCAGCTCTTATTTGTCTCCTTTTTACAAATTCTCTACGATGTGGGTGGGTTTTCTGGATTATGACAGTATTTTTTTTTCTCTTGTATCTTATATTTCATCTTTGTTGGTGGTATATTATTCCACATCAGTTATGATATTATACTGACTTATGGTACTTGATGTTATTGACACGGTCATTGCTGAAGAACTTCAACATTTGAGAAACAGTCTACCTGATCAAGTTGTTGTTCAGCGAATAGAAGAAAGATTATCTGCTCTGGGAAATTGTATAGCATGTAATGACCATGTGGCCCTTACTCACACTGATCTTGACAGGGTATTTTCTTATTTTGGATTATAGATTTTTTTCTGTACTAATCTCTTATTCATGTTTAGGATCCGAAATTGATTTGAAGAGACACTCATATTTTCACGTTAAGCAGGATGATGAATAAGGAAATGGACAAATTATCACATATACATTGCTAGTCTTCTGAATCTCTGATCACCTTAAACTGTAAATAATTTCTTGAAAAGAAAATGCAAAATTTACGTTGCAAGGCCTACTAGCATGTATCAAAGCCTAGGGAATTTGACCACCCTATGTTATGTGGCCTGTAAAAGTCATTCTGATTCGGATGTGGATTTGGGTTCAGGGTTGTGTATTTATTATACACTAATAAGAACTAAAGTTTTTGTCAAAAGAACAAGAAGATTATTTGAATAGCTATTAAGTTTTTAGTCCCTTTTGTTGGCATTTTAGAATGAAGAATGATGACAAAAACCTTAAAAGATTATTTTGGCTAGTAGCTAATGCTGGTTTCATTAATCAAACAAATCCTTGTTTATTACTTAATTTGTTATACTAGATAATTCTCTGTTAAGGACCTTATCAAGTCTTGTTTGTCTGCCAAATGGGTTTTCTTACTGCGATACACGGGGAGCTAATTTCTTATATAGGGCTCATTATTAACACAATGCTTTTACCATTAAAAGTATTCCCTAGCTTCATTTTCTCTCCCTTTTTTATCCGTCACCGTTTTTCTCAATTATCTTTTGAATTTTATATATGATTCTTGGCTTGCTCTAGTATTCAATGTAATGTATTTGTTCAGGAGACTGAGGAGATGATTGCAGATGTTCTTGGAGTAGAAGTTTTTAGGCAAACCATTGCTGGTAATATTCTTGTTGGTAGCTTCTGTGCCTTCTCCAATAGAGGTGGTTTGGTGAGTAAAAAAATATTCTCATGAAATCCATAATTTAAACATCTATACTGTCTTTTGACAATATACTTGATGCAGGTCCATCCCCATACTTCCATAGAAGACTTGGATGAACTTTCTACACTTCTTCAGGTTCCTTTGGTAGCTGGGACTGTGAACCGGGGCAGTGAAGTAATAGCCGCTGGAATGACAGTTAATGATTGGACAGCATTTTGCGGTTCAGACACCACAGCTACAGAGCTCTCTGTGATTGAGAGTGTTTTCAAGCTGAGGGAAGCACAACCTAGTGCCATTGTGGACGAGATGAGGAAATCACTCATTGATAGTTATGTCTGAACTGTGGTAATAGTATTCTCTTTTGGTAAAAATGTAAGACTGCTCATTGTTAAGATCTTTTAAGTTTTGGTGATAGTTTTTTCTTATGCAGTGTGAACATATATATTTTAATCATGGATTGTACTTTTCATTAATTGTGTTATATCATATAATATCAACTATTAATTGTTGTGATGTGACCCATAAATCAAAGGCATATATGGGTCCAATAAAGCCTCGGTTTAATTTGAAGCAATCGGACTAGCCATGTTAGGGCAAATATTTGAATTTCTTCTTGAAAGTATAAACTTCACACCTTCAAAAGAATATATATATGAGTTAGGATCATTTTTGCATCAGTATAAGTTACACTCTTAATCTTGTCCGCTGATCCTACTTATATCTAATGGTTCAAATTTTTTAGTAATATGAGCCGTTGGATACAAGTGGATCAATGATCAAGATTGAGTGTAAGACTTATAACTCTTACACTGGTGTAATATGAGGCCGGATATTCTTACACCAGTGTAAGAGTTATAAGTCTTACATTCAATCTTGATTATTGATCCACTTGTATCTAATGATTTATATTACTAAAAAATTAGAGCCCTTAGATATAAATGAGATCAATGGTCAAGAATGAGAGTGTAACTTATACTGGTGTAAAATGATTCTGACCCATATACATATATAGGTAAAATCATTTCTACAGCTGCTTTACGTACATCAATGACAAGTGTATGTGTATGGTTATGATTCTCCAAATTTAATGCTTTAACGTATATATGGCAAGTATTTGAGCACGTACAGTAGCTGCAAAAATGTAAACGTTCAGCAATGACAGGTGTATGGTTACGATTTTTCACATTTAATGCTTTCACGTATATATATGGTAAGTATTTAACTGCTGCACGTACAATAGCTGCAGAAATGTAAATTATATATATATATATATATATATATATATATATATATATATATATATATGAGGCAGGATCCTTTGACACCGGTGTCAAATTTGAAATTTGACACCTCATGTGAGATCCGTTAAATCAAAAAAATCAATTGTGTCACATGCTTACAAATCAGAATCGTTGATTTTTTTTAATCTAACGGCTCTCAGATGAGGTGTCAAACTTTTTTTTTGACACCGGTGTCAAAGGATCCTGTCTCTCTCTCTATATATATATATATGAAGTAGGATCATTTGACACCAGTGTCAAATTTTAAATTTGACACCTCATCTAAGAGCCGTTAGATAAAAAAAGATCAATGATGTCACATGCTTACAAATCAGAATCGTTGATCTTTTTTGATTTTTATATATATATATATATATATATATATATATATATATATATATATGATTTATCATGTCACATGACATAAAATTATGTTGTCACCCTAAACTTATGTTGTTTTAGGAGTTTGGGGAATTAACGAAGGGTGCTTTGATAAAATTCATATAATAAATAAGGGTTTCGATTTTCTCATGCGGTAGGAGAAAATTTTCTCATGTTGTAGATACATCTTACGTGGGGTTCACATCTATTAAAAAAATAAAAAAAGCAAAAGAAAATATTGCACACATTTAGAAGGATCACTGCTAGGAGAAAATAACTCTCTTACGACATGAGAAAATATTTTTCCAATAAATAAATAAATAAAAATACCAAAATGCTCATCATTAATTTTTCGAACTCCGATGTAGTTTTAGGGTGACATGACATAAACTTATGTCATGTGACATGACAAACAATAAACCCAAGTGAGAGTAATTTGATTAACACCAATATCACATTTAACCTAATCTAGTTGGTCTGATGTGGATGAACCAGAATAAAAACATACGAGAGCATTTTGACGGTAACTCTTCAACAGTTTGCAATATCAGTAATATGCACTCCAGATTTCCAAAATGACATCGAGTCGCGTATCGTTAAGAAATATTAAACTTGTGAAACTTGATCTAACATAATTATTAAGGAAGCTGAAAGTTTAATTTCTTTGTTGATGTGTGAGTTTCTCCAGTTCTTCCATTGTACTTAGCACTCAGCAACACTAAATGATACTAGAAAAAAAAAAACCACTAACAAGTTTTTTTTTTTAATGTCACATAAGATTCATTTATTTATAATTCTAGTAAAGAATAAGTATCAGTAGTGCCGAAAATGTACTCTGTTCACTTTCTTTCTCAAATCAGATTGTTTGAGATTGAAAAAAATCGAATGTTTCAAATCACCCCAAACCTTATTTATTGTACTTGACTCTGGTACAACTGCCACATCTTTATTCTTAAAATTTTCTTCTGAATTAAGTTTTTTGTTATTCAGTTATGAACAGTAAAATAAAATGTTTACGACTACAAGATAGTTTTCTCTAATGACACATCGAAATAAAAAATGTTTTCGTTTATTAATAATTTCTTCAATTAATGATATATTTTGAAAAAAACACTATATAAATTCATTTGACCTTTACAATGTAGTTCTATCTCATTTGGCATATTCATTGAATAAATTTGATCGATCATTGACAATGAATCAAATTTCAAATCTTTTAGAATTTTGTTTTTCTCGTAAGAAAATCTTTTGGATATGTCAAGTTGTCAAGCATCGCATGTCTTTGGCCCCAATGAAAAGGAAGTTTTGTAGTTGGGTTTGGGCCAATGGCAAGGCCGGCCCAACAAATTTGTATAGTATGTAGAATCTATTTGATTGTGTTCTATTTTTTTTTTTTCTTAAAATTATTTTGTAGAATAGTTAATGAAAGGGTTTGATGTTTTTCATTTTAAATGACATAAGTTATGTCATTTTAGGAGAGAGATAAACACAAAGAATGAAAATCATGAGAGAGAAGGTGAGTGATTTTTTTTAATTTAAATTTTAAATAAAAAATATTATTTTGTGTCTATCTCTCTCTTAAAACGACAAACACTTTACCCTTAATGAAATATGTGTTTTCTGTATTTTTTTCATTTTGAAAGTTAAAAATCAAAAACACAAAACAAAAACAAATAAGACTGTGCTCTGTTTGATTAGTGTTTTTAAAAACAGTTTTTTAGTTTTCAGAACAAAAAAACAAAAAAACAAAAAATTCGTTTGATAAAGCCTGTTTTGTAATTTTTTTTTTTTAAAAACTGTAATTATTTTTTTGTTTTTAGAATCAAATTTAGAAAACATGTCTGAGTTATTTTTGTTTTCTGTTTTGGATTTTAACTTTCAAAACAAAAAAAACATAGAAAACAACTGTTTCCATAATTATTCTACAAAATAGTTTTAAAACAAAAAAACCAAAACACAATCAAACATGTATATTTTCTCAATTTGATTCTAAAAATTAAAAAACAGTTATAATTTTTAGAACCATATTTATAAAACAGGTCTTATCAAACAAGTTTTTTTTTTTTTTTTTTTTTGAAAATAAAAAAACTGTTTAAAAAAGAAAAGTAATCAAACAGGCCCGTAGTATACTAATATTAGCTCATTGACCTCCTTGCCAAGCTCATACTTTTCACTATAGCCTCCATAAACACCAGCTTGGGACAACCTTAGCCTTCTCTGGGGCATTGCAACATAGTACAACATTCTCCAAGCAATCTAACATTTCCAAGCATCATGCATGAATGATTAACCATTAATAGTTAATCTTGGCAAGATAATGAGGAAGACATGCAAGGGAGAGTAATAGAAATAGAAAGTGAAAATGAAAACAGAAAATGTATTGAGAATTATACTGGAACTGGAAATAGTAAGAACAATGTAACATCTAGCACAGTCTCTTCCTTTCACCAAATAGTTGCTCAAAAAATATACCCACTATCTTCCTACCTTCTATAGTGCTAGAATTGTCTGCATACAGCCTATTCTTCCTATTGTACACCTGAGTTACAATCAGCCTATAAGAGACATCAGCATCAATACCACCTTTATCCGAAAGAGGAAACAAAAATGATTCAATTAGAGGGCAAGAGTTCCTTGTTGCAATTTTAAGTTGCAGATTAGCGGTTGCCCAAGAATCAAACAGAATTATTGACCTATACCAAAATGCATCATATGAAATATGATCAACAGCGGAAAAATCTGGATAGAATATTCACCAATAGTACACTTTCATTTTGGCTTTGACCGGACTTCCAAACCATGAAATCTGGAGAAAAGTAGCTAGCATCACTCCAACGTTTTAGAGAAATTAAGGAAAAGGGTCCTTGTACATGTCCCTGGGGATCTCTGTAATGCCACTTTAAGGACTTCAACTGCTCATCAGGAACCTGTTTTGTAGTGCTTGGTTCTTCATTTTTGTCATCATCATCTTCATCATCGCTCAATTCTATAACCTCAACCTGAGATGGCCGTACCTGCTTGTTCGAGGGTCCTTCGGAGATCTTAGCATCATTTGATTCAGCTGGCTTAGACATGCCTTCTTTGTTACATGCAGAGTCTGTCTGTCGCTCTGGCTGCTGCTGTTGAACAGGCATACCAGACCTTTGATGCTCTGCGAAGAACATCAATGAATGTCATTAGGATGTGTAAGTTGGTATCTATAAAGAGATACATTATTCTAAAATTACAAAAAATAAAAGAAAAAAACAATGTGAGACATGTACTGGGTAAAATGATAGGGTCAATCATTTCATTATCTTGAAGTTCATTTCCCAGCAACTAGTTACATTTGGAATTAGACACTTTGAACTTTCCAGTAAAATTGGGTATGACCACAGAAATTGGAGCATTTCCTTTTGACCAAGTTCATTGGTAGGTAAATATGCTATACTGTGGTGTCTTTGGATGAGCAGAATGCCCATATTTTCCAAGTAAAATTCTTCCCATGGCTTATCCTTGGTGCTTTTGACGTACAACAAATAAATGTAGCACACTTCCCACCAAACAAAATATACTGCAGTATTTCCATCAAGCGCATTCACAGATAAATTACAGGCTTATATTTAAAAAAGAGATCATGGAAGAAGATGAATCTTTATAACAAACCTGCAGCAGTGTCACCAGACATGTAATTCGACAGAGTGCTGTCCACTGCCATATTGAATAGAGGAACTTTTGATGCTCTATTCAGACTGGCAATTGACTTTGGGGATTTGTTTTCTTGTTTTACAAGATCAGCCATATCCATTTTTGTAGCCTTGTATAGAAAACCATCTGCAACTGCTTTTGGGACCTCAGTCACTAAAGATGCTTTTGTACTGGTAATCTGCCATAACTCTTGTAAATCGTTTTCTGATTTTATCTCTGGATCAATTGGTGTTTTACATTCTGATTCTAGATCTTCTGCAATAACTTGAGGAATTTCATGCAATAAACGTTCCTGTTCTTCTGGAATCTGAAGCTTCTCCCTTTTTTGTAGGTACTCATCCAGTGTACTTCCAATCAATTAAGGAATCTTTGTTTTATAGAAAATCTTTTTTTTTTACATTTTTTGACTAAAAAAGAATCTCTATATAAAGTATTTAGCATAATGTATATAATGATCAGACAGAATCCTAATGGAAAATGTTCATCACTATAAATTTCTCATCGTGTGTACAGTACTGAAAGAAAGTCCAAGCCATAAAAGGGATTTTAAGGTAAGGTTTGATGTTTCTCATGTTGTAGGAGATAAAATTATTTCCTATACATACATAAAAGTGTGCAGGACCTATGTGGGATCATGGTAAGGAGAGAGAGAAAAAAAAAAATAGGTTCCATACAGTTTTATGTGTATGTAGGAGATAAAATTATTTTCTACAATATGAGATATATTAAACCCTTTAATGTAATTAGCACGCATTACTTTAAAGACGAGTAACATCTTTAAGGTGGTATCCATTTGTGCTATGCATAAATCTGCATGCTGCTTCAAAGAGAAACACAGAAGCAACCTCCACTTACATGCTACCAGGGCTTAACTCAGGGGGTTGGGGTTGGGGTTGGGCTGGAATTTGAGTAAAAGTCCAGGGTTCATAATGTGGTTCTTATCAGAAAAGATGCATCACCTTAAAAATTATCCTACAATATGACACTGAAAGAATTTATATAAGAAAATATTAGACAAATTAAGGAAGAATTATGCAACTGACAGATGAAATACAGAAGGACTGGACAAGAATTGATTTGATAACTCAAATAAATTGGGTAATCGTCAAGTGTCCAAAAGATTTTTAGTGGCTTGAAAAAACAATGAAAGGAGTAGATTTTATTTCATTTATTCAATAGTTGAATGAGCAAATCAGTATCATTATTTTAAAAAATAAATAAATAAATAAGAAATCAATACAAGCAAGGATTATGAAGATGCCATTGGCGACTATGATTGCCATAAACAGCCAATGATTTTTATTTATGACTAATAATACAGTTAACAATCTATACAGTATCTACTACAGAACAAATTTAGTCGTATAAAAAGTGTGTAGTGCGATATGTTAAATAGGTTCAGCAGCATACGTCACCACATGTTGCTATCATCTGATGCAAAAAATAAATACGGAGACATTACCACAATATAGAAAAAAGTTATCATCTAATATCAGAAAAGGATATTCTCTACGCAAACCCTTTTCATTAGCTCGATCAATAAGATTTTGTAACCGATTGAGTTCTCTTGGCAGCCACTGAAACAGATTCACCATATAATAAGAAAGCATTAAAGTTAAGTAAAATCCAAGCCCAAATATCAAAAGCGTAAACATGAATTCTTATTTGAAACAAACATGTAAAGCACAACACACTGAAGAAACAGGACATGTATAATATAAAATTATAAATATGTAAGCATTGATATTAAACACAGACAAACATCAAGAAGTACATTAAGTATATCTAAGGTATGGCTAGGATGTATAAATACTAAACAGTATCTAAGAAGTTCCATAACTTAAATTCAAAAGTTTTCTTTATTCCAAAGGTTGCTTGACAAATTTAGCGTACACCTATCATTGAACGTGGGGTGATAAAAGAAAAACTACATGATATCCCTAAAGCGAGGCCAATCAATCAACACGGGTTAATTGATTAAAAACGGTAAAGCTATGTCCAAGCACAGAATAGAGCAACTGAGGAAGACATTTTGATTTGAACAGAGTATGTAACTGTTGCATGTTGGCACTCACAAGCACAACAGAATTTGAAGATGCTAATATATCTACAAAAGAAATTTGGTAATAGCGCGCTATCTCACTTGATTTCTCTTTTGATACACAAGATACAACAGTTCAACAGCTACTTGATTAATTTAACAAAAGGGCAACCTGGATCTATAAAGTTCCAGCTATGTCAAGGAAGGGTTAGAGTCATTATGTGGGTCTATATAGTAGGCAGTCTTACCTTGCATTTGCAAGAGACTGATTACTTGATTTAACCTATGACCTTTAGGTCACATGATGACAACTCCAACCGTTGTGCCAAGGCTCCCATTCTTTTACAGCTGCTTAACTTATGAAAGCAAAAATTACCTATAAAGCTATATATCACATTGTTTCATTGTTTGTGTTGTGTATCTTCTTGTTTCATTGCAAATTCAGCCTAGTAAATAAGAATAATATCGATCTGTTCATTAAATGATATCCACACAATATGGAGCAAAGAACAATTCTCATGCAAATACAGATGGCTAATATGATGTCCTACTTTCTTGATCAATTGTTTCTGTATCTTTTCCCTTTTTCTTGTATATCTTAATATTTACTGTGCCAAAGGACTGGTGTTTTGACAGACGTAAAAAGTGCAAATTAACCGACTGTGAGAAAATCACTAAACTGAAACAAGAATGAAGCAATTGAAACACAGGGTTCCATAATAGTTCAGTACGTACATGCTTAGTCATATCCTCATGCAATACTCTTGCCGTCTGCTCTATATCTACCTACCATGTATAAAACCAAAAAAAAAAGGTATTGTTATAATATTCAGATTCATTAAAGCATCAGATATAGTATTTAGGGTAAAACAGACTCTCATAGTCTAATGTATAAAGAACACACTGTTCTCTACATTCCTTTTCAGTTCACAATTTACAGAAGTAGATTAGTCTCGTGCTGCAGGAGTTTTGTTATTTTAAAAAAATTCAAAGCACTGAAAAGAACTTACAACCATAGGTCTCTTGAGCAAGCCGTCTTTTACTCTTCGCTGCAAATCCTCACACTCCTCCTGAAACCAAAGTCACAGGTCAAAACCCAAAAATTTAAAAGTAGAATTATACAGATACAATGGAAGGGGGGTGGGGGCGTCACTCTATTGAAAGAATAGCCCCCCCCCAATCAAATACCAGATTGAAAAATTAAAGGAATAAAAACCCCAAATGGGTCAAAGAGCCCTTGTTTTACTATAATTCCATTATGATGCATTGTGTGTGTGTGTTATTTTTTTTTTTTTAGTTAGCATTTGGTATAATTTTCATGCATAACTATTGCCAGAAAAGATACACATATCATATCTATAATTTAACTATGCATTATTAAAAATTTATATTATGTGGGATACAAAATGATAGTACTGTAGAGAATCAGCAGTCAGAAACAGCAAATAAACCATCAACTTCCAGTTAACATGTGCTAATTTAAAACTGTCAATGATATAATCCATCATTATTGCATTCATTTGTTAAAAATTGGTTAAGAAAGATGGATACAGACAGAGAACATAACGCTTTTGGCTTAGCACCAGAGTTTACAATTTTATTTTATTTTGGTACATGAAAATTAAGGCAGAGGAAAAGTTTCCCGATTCCAAGTTCAGGACATGCCACAAGCTGTTTAAAATGGTAGATAAGACTTACCAATGAAGGATCACTAGCATGAATTGAACCTAAGACCTTTGAGTAAATGGAATTTGATCTATCTAGTTGAGTTAGCTCTCACTGACAGAGTGCAGAATTTTTACCAAATAAAGCTAAAATAGCAAGATAACTCAACTGTACCTCAGAGAAGTTAACATCTGAAAGCATGTGAATGCTGATGTCTTTGATGAAACCAGAGCTTTGTAGGAGAATTTCCCCTTCGACTTCAGAGCTCTTCTTTACACCTGAAAGATAGCCCCAAAAAAAAAGTATTTCAGCTAATTAGAAGAAATATATTCCATCGTCTAATTTTTCTACATTTGTCATATTCAACTGTCAATTGGCATATCAAATTCACAAATAAATAGTAGATGAATATGCAACATAAGAGAAACAATTCCAGGAAGGATCCCATAGAAGATTAATTGCAAACCGAAAGGATTAGATTGTTTTGTTCATTTTCATTCATTGTGAATAGTCCAAATCGTTCAATTAGGCTTAATAACACCCGACAAATGACCTATACTCATGATGTCAAAAAAGAGGACACTAAAAGAAGAATTTAGTTTTCTTTATTTATTTTAATCACGCCTGACATGAGGTTATTCAATTAGATTGTTCTGCTCATTGTCATTCATTGAGAATTGTCCAAATTGTTCAATTAGGACTAATCACACCTGGCATTGACTTATGCTAATGATGTAAATAAAGAGTACATAATAAGCACATGAGTTTGTTTCATTTATGTGAATCCCACTCGGCATGAGGTTATTGGATTACATTGTTTTGTTCATTGTCATTCATTGCGAGTAGTCCAAATCGTCCAACTAGGATTAATCACACCCAACAAATGGCCTATACTAATGATGTCAAAAGAGAGTACGTGATAAGAACAATTTGGTTTTCTTCATTTATTTGAATCTCAGCCAACATAGGGTTATTGGATTAGATAGTTTTGTTCATTGTCATTCATTGCAACTAGTCCAAATCATTAAATTAGGACTTTTCACACCTTGTATTGACCTATACTATTGATTTAAAAAAAGAGTACATAACAAGCACCTTTTAGTTTGCACCCGACATGAGGTTAATGGATTACGTTATTTTATTCATTGTCATTCATTGCGAATAGTCCAAATTGTTCAATTAGGGCTCGCTTGACTACTTTTCCAGTTCTTCACAATGCATGTGATCTATACTAACGATGTCAAAAAAGATTAGATAATAAGTACTTTTGGGTTTGCCTTTTTGTTGTTGCTTTTACTTCTGACAAGCACATGTACTAAAATTAAGCAGTTGATGAGCATACCTTTCAAAGCAACTTGTACATTTTAAAGTCATAAAAACGCATTTATTATAATGCAATGTCATAATCAACCCACAACAGCCAAATTACCTGTGACTTGCAGAAGCTGGAATGGGTTTTTCTGAAGGTAGTCATTTGGGTCACTTCTGATTCTTATGAAGCTTCCAACTACTTTAGTCTCAAAAGTTTCAGGGTCCTTCAGAAGCTCCTCAACTAGACTCTTCTTCAAATAAACAAGTTTGATGTTGTCAGGAATGATGGCAGCGAAGCAGCTCCTTGGTTTTTCCATTAACGGTATCTTCGGATGACTCTTCCTCTCTGAACCTGTCGTTTTCGGTGTTTCACACGCATCATCTTCTGAGTTAGAAAAAATATCATCAGAAGATTCCTCACAGTTCTCAGCAAAGTGTGATTCAAGCAGGTCATTAATTTTCAACCGGCTAATGGCCTTCCTTCTGAACAGCAAATGAAGCTTCTCATCACACACAATTCTTTTCTTTTTCGTAGGATGATGAAGGCCATTCTGCTTAACATAATCATTGACAATCTTAGTGACATCACTTTGAGTCATCTGATTGCTTGTGTCTCTACCAATGGATCCAAGAAACCGAATAAGGGAAGTTGATCCCCATCCATCATACTCCTTTTTCTTTTTTGTATATTTCCTTTTCTTTGTCATAGGAGTCTGAACCTTCTGACTAATTTCCTCCTTCCAGAAAGAATCAACATGACCTTCATCATCCATCCTTTTTATCATAACCCTAAATTCGATCTTCTCCACTGATACTCAGTCTTCTACCTCTCAAATTTCTCTATTCCAATCTTTTCTCTGTTGTGAACCTCTTAAGAAAAAATTAATTGGAAAAAAAGGGCATAAGTTGACAGCAGAAAATAGTAAAAATAAATAAATAAATAATTGGACATGCATTTTCTGTTGTTGAAACCTAAAACAAAGAACTGAGAATCAGAAAAAATAACAAGAAAATTAAAAAAGAAAAAGAAAAAAAGAAAAAAACACATTCAATCTTTCTCCACTGATACTTATACCATTCAATCTCCAAGAAAAAATTGAATGAAATAAAAAGAGAGAGACATAAATTGGCAGCAGAAAACAGTCCCATAAAGAAAACATCGAACATACATTTTCTGTTATTGCTGAAACCAAAAACAAAGAAGAACCGAAAGCACCAAGAATCAGAAAATATAACAAGAAGAAAAAAAAAAGAATACTTTCAGAAGCAAAACGAAACAAACCAGACCGACAACATCGTAATAACCAACGAAATTAAGAACAAGAAGAAAACATGGGGAACATAGAATTGACATAGAAGAATAAGAAGAGAGAAAGAGAGAGAGAGAAAATTTACCGAAAGAGTGAGAGTGTTGACTGAAGCAGCGTTGGCGTTGTTGCTCACTGAATAGCAATTTTTGAACAATACAAGGAACCGAAGAAGTATTAACTAAATGCCCCAAAAGGCAAAATGGGTAAAAGAAATTAAATTGATTTTTTTTGCATAATTAACGGAAAACGGTTATCAATGCATTACTCTATTTGACTTTTTTATACTTTATATTATTACATGTTTCTTTTATATTAATTTAATAAATTTTATATGGAAATCATTTAATGGTAATAAATATATATTAAAAACTGTGTTAAAAAAATTTCTGAATATGTTCTTTTTTCTACTATTGCTTTTAATGACGTATAAGCATATATATATATATTCTGATGCTGCCACGTCACTCCGATGTGTAAGTGTACTAGATTAAACATGTGTTATAATACAAGTGGAATTTGAACTTGGGTTTTAAGATGGAGTATTTTGGATGGGCTTTTTTCTTGAAAAGGTTGCCTTTTTTCAAAATAAAAGTCATTTTGACTTTTGAGTCATTTCATGTGTTTGGATAAACATTTAAAAAAAAAAGCAGAATTCAAAAATAAAATAGAAATTTAAAAATAAGGATTTCTTACTTATGAAAAAAGCCAAAGCCAAGAGTCAATTAAGTTTTTTAAAATTTTAATTTTATCCCAACTACACTTCATTATTACCACTACCATCACATATATATATTTTTGATAATTACGTATATATAAAGTGCTTTTTATTTTTTAACATCAAAATAATTTTTATTTAAAATTATTTTTTATTGGAGTTATTAATCTTATATCACATACGATAAATATAAGATAAGTATCTTATATGGAGGAAACAAAATCATGGGGCCATAATTTTTAAAAAAATATGAAAGAAAAAATGGGCACAAGATTCCGTTAGTGTGCAACATAAGATAATTGTCTTATGTGACATAAGACAACTATTTCCCATTTTTTATTTATCCAACCATAGAATAACTTTAACTTCCAAAAAAATTCATTCTAAAAAAGCAAGCCATAAAAAAGTCATGTTTTTAAAAGTTCATCTGCACTCATGCTTATTGTTTTTTATTTTTTATATAAAAAGATTAAACTTTTTTTTTAATATAAAATAGGGAATATGATATTATGTTTATCTTTTTTTTTGGGATAGGTTATTCATCTATTCTTATTCTACCTACCTTTGCTACCCCTCTCAGTACCATTAGATTTTAATTTTATCTAACAATGGAGATTTACGGGATAAATAAACCTTTTTACACATTTTTTCTTTTCATTGCCTTCCACTAAAGAACCTTGGGATACACCATCCCAAGAGCTAGTTTTTGGGTAGTGTATCCAAGGTTCTTTACATGGTATCAGAGCTTAAATGAATATAAAGTCACAAGTTCGATCCTCACCGCCCCCACTTTAAAGTGAAATTAAAATAAAAAGCACAAAAAGGTAAACCAAAAATTGGCCCAGTGCAATATACACGCTTCTAGTCCAATGGGCTCTCGTGTGAGGGGGCGTGTTGAGATATATAGTCCCACATTAATTGTATGTGCAACTAATATGACATTTATAAAGTTTTGGGTACTCCTACCCTTTGAGCTAACTTTTGGGATGGTGTATCCCAAGGTTCTTTACAGTTCCATCTTTTTTCTCTCCAATTTCATACAAGAAGACGCTTTGGGTGTGTACAGTGCAGAACTTTGGATATCGTACAACGCAGAAGAAGGAAAAACATTTTTTTTATACACAATTGAAGATAGAAAACATCAAACACAGATGAAACAAAGTTGGGTATCATGCCCACAAAAAGCTCACGGCTTCGTATGTTTGAAAATTGCAGATTTGAAACAATTCCAGTAAGGGTAGGCAACCTTTTAAACTTTTTTTTATCTTATGTTAAAATTCACTGAAAATGAAACAAATTGAAGGAAACATGTTACGAGAAGAAATTTTTGCAAATCAAAGCGGTGTCTCCATCACCAGGGAGGAGACAAAAAAGATGGGAGGCAATTAGGAGAAAGAGATGGGTAAAATGATTTATTTTATTCCATAAATCTTTATTATTGGATGAAATTAAAATCTAATGGTATTGAGAGATGTAACAGCCCCAAACCCTGTAGCATGATATTGTCCGCTTTGCCCTCAGGCTCACGGTTTTGTTTCTTGGGACCACAAAAGGCCTCACACTAGAAGAGGTATCTACACCCTTATAAGTCATGCTTCGTTCCCCTCTCCAACCGATGTGGGACATTACATCCTCCCCCACTGGGAATACAACGTCCCCGCTGTACACACCGGTCCAGGGCCAGGCTCTGATACCAAATGTAACAGCCCCAAACCCTGTAGCATGATATTCTCCGCTTTGCCCTCAGGCTCACGGTTTTGTTTCTTGGGACACCCCACAAAAAGCCTCACACTAGAAGAGGTATCCACACCAATGTAACATCCCCGTCTCGAGCCGGTTCAATTAACATGCATATGATATAAACAGAAACAACGGAAGACTTAACTTACGAAAATACGAGCTAACTTTTTCTTTTTCTTTTTAAATTCTCATTCGACGTAAACGAAAATCGGACAGAGTTTCCTCTATAAATCGAACAACTGGGGATTTTTCAATCCCACTCAGAATCATTTCCTGATAACAGTTTATACAGCACATCAATCCAGAAGTACCAGTCATGCAAATATAATCAGATACCCATCCATGGGCGCATGCATAACTTGGCTCAGTGCCGCTAATCTAACAACATGCAGTCCAATACATAAACATAACTGAATACTACATCATCATATAACGTGCCTGAATACTCAAATGTACATGCATCAAACTGACAGACATGTACAAAACATATACAGGCCATATACAAAATAAAGGATCAATGTCATGATCCATCAAAGGCGGAAATACAAAATGACATGAATATACTTCCAAAAAGTAGTAGCCTACAGCCACTCAAAATCCGATCCGTCAACTGCCTCAGCCACGTGTCGCGTCCCTGCCTAGTGAGGACTCACCGGGAATCTAGGCACCTGAAAATATGTCCCCAACGAGGGGTGAGATTACAAATCTCAATAAGCTCCAGGTTTATAGAGAATTCTCCATACCCCTGGCTCACTCCTGCATGAAAGTCAGATACAGAGTATACAAATACAACATATAACAGATATCATAACAGAACAGAGCATATATCCATATCATATCAGAGATGTGTGCCGTCATTCCCAAGGGAGGACCCCAAGCGGAAATCAACGCACGTGTTCCCGAGGGAGGACCCCAAAGCGGAACCAGACATATCAGAGGCGTACACCATCAGTCCCGAGGGAGGACCCCAAAGCGGACATCCGGGTACTATACAATCAATGGCCAGAGATTGTTACAGAAATCATATTACAGAAGTCATATCAAAGCAAAACATATCATGTTATCAAATAACTCTATATGAATGCATCTATACAAAGCATCTAAATCACAGTCATACAGTCCAACCATAGTTCACTAACCATGGTGGAGCACTCAAGCAGGAAAAGACTCCTTAAACATAGAGCTTACCTCTTGAAGCTTTACCAATACCCTTACTTGTTGCACAAGTTACTTATATATCTTCAAGAGATTCTGATTCCTTTTTAGTCCCTAGGTACACCTAGAGCAAGAATCCACAAATACCAATTAATAAAATGCCATCATGCCTAGCTTTCACATAAGGCATACATTTTATCGCTTCTTTTCATTTCTTTGCATTTTTGCCAATCCTATGCCAATACACAAGTCTAGACCTCTTTATAACCGTTGGTGTTCTTTAATTTAATCATCCATTCCCTTACGAATTTCCAACATAAATCATAGCATTTTACTTTAAAGGACCGTGGGCCTAAAATTAGGAAATCAATATATTTTTCCATGATTTCTTTTCAAACCATTTCACTTCATGACTTATCATTTTCATACTTTGTAACACACATATTTTATTAAAATAAAATATGACAACATCTTTCCCTAAACACCCTATATGTCGAATCCTTTAAGGGAATTTCCAAGGATCCTTCTCTTTTACAATACATTTTCCTCACTTAATTTAACAACTACACGTACATAAATATATATATATATATATATATATATATATATATATATATATATATATATATATATATATACCAAGTTCCAATTTAATTTTTGGGAATCTCAAGCTCTTTAAATCCTTCAAGGCCGAAAAATCAAGGGTATGTTTCAAAGGATTTTTTTTTCAAATTTAACATTCTTACTAACTCATCAAATTTCCTCTTATTCAAGCACATTAAACCTTCCCAATACATACAATAAATCTTTGTGCATCACCCCTAATTACCCTATCAAGGCCGAAATCTAGGGTATGTCACCATGGGATTTTTTTTCCAATTTTCATACATGTTCATATGCTTATTCCACATTCCTATATCCAACACATCATCCATCCATCATCAATTCAAATTTTAAACTAATTTATTTCACACCAACACATGCTCACAATTTCTATGACACAAACCATCAAAATAACATCATGGAAACAAAGGTTTCTTACCACTAATCAACTTCCCAAAGCCTAGAAAGCAACCTCCAAGCCAAGCTCCATCAAAAACTCACTTTTTCTCCTCCAATGAATAGTAACTCAAAAATTAGAGGAGGAATAACTCTTCACACACTCAACTATAGCTCAAATGGATAGGTGGAATGGATTCATTGAGTGGTTTCCAATCAATTTCATGTGGTGGGTCATTGGATTTGGTGGATGGATGATTTAGAAATCAAAGAAAGAAAAAACAAACCCTAAGCCCCCCCTGACAAGTGCAGCTCGGCCATCCAAGAGAGAGAAGAAGAAATTCTGAAATGAATAGTGATTCATTTAAGTGACAAGGCTATATAGGCACATGTGGCTCTTTTTATCGGATGTTTTTCTATCACGTATTTTAACTTAAACTGACTCGAAACTCACTTAAGGCTACAAACATATTTTTATTTTTCTAAATCATTTACATTAATTTTTATTTCCTAAGGAA